ACATTTCTCGATCCTATTTGAAGGTAGGCTCTAATTTGATTGTTTTGAGCCTAGGCTCTATACAACCTACACCCATATTTAAATAGTTCATATATGTATTGAACATAATATTTAAATATATATTTTTTATTTTTGGGTTGGGTACAATCAGGTATGGGTCCGGGTTGGGTCCAGTTGGGTCTGGGTCTGGGTCCGGGTCCGATCGCCAAACCCAGACTCGTTGCCACCCCTACCCAACCCTCCCACCCCCCCAAGAAAAAAGGGTAATTTGGGACATCACTGAGACTGTTAATTGATTTATTTATTTGTTTTGTATAGTCTTTGCTAGCTCCAGGATATTCTCCATTCTGATCATAGTTGGTTTCATTTGTCATTTGTGTGCAGGATTGAAAAGCTCTGGTGTGTCGTTGTTATTACACTCTCCCTGATTTATTTGAGGAGGATCTCATTTTGTGAACTTTATAAATCGTAGGAAGGTTCTGATTTCTGGTATTCCATGAACGAATCATCAGTGTGTTTTGATATAAAATTCTATATGTATTATTAAGTTAGGATTTTAATGGGTGCTTTGGATTGAACTATGATTATCCATACCTTGACTCTTGATCATGGGATGGTCATAGTTGATAGTACAGATCTGGACCGTCCAATTCAGTGTATTACAGTGTGCTTTACAATTGTTATAGCCCAGTTTTTTTGTTTCTTGGGAAAGGTTTCTATACTTCCCTTATTGTATAAAAGATTTTTACTTCCCTCCTTCCAGCCGTCTAATTTAAATCACATGAGCCACTCACTATTTGATTTAGATTTTATGCTTTAGAGTATTTTATTTTTAAATTTTTTCTACAAATTACAGTTGCGAGTTTAAGAGAGGAGTGATGCCCAAAATTTGGTGTCAAAATGTTTGGTAGCAAAACAATTAAAAATATAATAATGCAGAGGCATAACATAGTGATTGGGGCCATCTCAGCCATCCATTCTCAATAGATGGTTGGATAGGGTGAAATATATAAGTTTATACAGTAGGGGAAATATAGAAAGCTTGTCTTGTTTCTTATGTTTGCTGATATTGTTAACAAAGAAAAATAAACAATAAGACCGTTTACCAATATTGTTTGTTTTTGGGAAAAGTATATGACAATACTTTTTACCTTTGGTACGAGAAAATCGGAATCAACCCTGTTTGAAATGGGGCAGTTAGGGATGTGCCATTGACTGTGTTCAAAATCTGAGAAAATTTTTCTCAGTGCACAAAATTGATACTCCTCTAACGACCCAATTTGACATGCTGGGGATGTGCAATTGACTGCTCAAAATCTGAGAAATTTTTCTTGTGTAGAAAATTGATACTCCTCTGGCCACTTAATTTGACATCTCTGATGGTTAGAAATGAATGTTGTTTGTTTTTGGAAAAAGTATATGACAAGACTTTTTACTTTTGGTACGAGAAAGTACGAATCAACCCTGTCTGAAATGGGGCAGCTGGGGATGTGCCATTGATTGTGTTCAAAATCCGAGAAATTTTTTTCTCGTGCACAAAATTGATACTCCTCTAAGGACCCAATTTGACATGCTGGGGATGTGCAATTGACTACTCAAAATCTGAGAAATTTTTCTCTTGTAGAAAATTGATACTCCTCTAACCACCCAATTTGACATCTCTATGGTTAGATATGAATGTGACCTTGTATGAAAGAGAGAGGGTCCCTCCACAATCTCTCCACTATTTTTCCTCATCGGTACCTTTCGTGCATGTTTTAAAGACCAGTGGCTTCTATTGAAACTCTTTTCCTGTGAAAAATGTGAATTTCGGCAATGTTTCCGGATTTCAACCTTTTGTCCCCTTTTCGAACATGCTTTGTGATATCCTTGTGTGTTTTGTCTCTTTTCAGCGAAAAAGAGATGTTTTCTGGTTTTGATTGAAGAATCCAAAAATCAAACCACGGGATGCTTTTTTTAGTTTGGTCTCTCTCTCTTTCTCTCTCTCCTCATGAGGTGCACCCTTTCAACTTGGACTCATTCCAATCCCTCTCATACCCCCCTTCTAGACATTTCCCTATTTGCAGAAGTCCTCTCTCTATTTCTCTCTCTCTTTGGTATGATAACGGCAGGAACGAAGGGTTGTTATATTATGTTGAGGCATCTGACCCCAATTCCAAGTTTGGATAATAAAGAATAATAAGTTTGGATGATAAAGAATAATTGATGTGTGATGATTACATAAAATCTCGATTATACATCTTCACTTCGTCATCCCAATTCTAATTTTAAGTAGGAAATCTTCCTCAACCTTTCATTTTTTTGATTATCGATCTAAGATATCGAAAATATGTTCTTTTTGGTATCTTGACCGTCAATCTTAACTATTTATCGTATATACTTATATTATTATTAAATTTGTATTTTATATATTGTCTTAGATGGTTAATTTCAATACTTTTAAATAGAACATAATGGTTTGATCAGGATTTGTGTAGTCAAATATTGAATAGTTGGAAAATGACTACGATTATGATGATTATGAGAATATAAGACATCTTTCCAATAGTCACATCTAAAAAAGATGCGCTCAAATTACCTGGACTTTCTTACAATATCTCTCTCTATAAAAAATCCTAATTGTATTATCTATGAGCTTGCAAAAAATATAATGTTTCAAGATTAAATAGTGACCATCTAATTTTAGATGGTGAGATATAAGTTTAGAAACCTCAATTTTCATATTATTTTTTATGAGAATCTAATAATTTTTAAGTGGTTTTCAAAATTTTAGATTGAATAGATCATCCCAGGTAGGTCTTTCGTCTGAGGGAGTGAAAATAAACTATGGTCTCGGGGGAGAATATGTATTAGAAATGTAAATATTTAATATTTTATTGATAACCATTCAAACTAAAGGCCATGCATATTCTTATGGATATTTTAAAATTAAATCAAAAGACATGTTAAAGTGTCAAATTATTCATCTCATAATTAATTTGATAATCTTTTTATGAATGTATAGAAGAAAAAGAAATAAGGAGGAAATATATATAAAAGAAAAATCTTAAAAATACCTATAGGTGATTTTGAATAGTATTTTGGCTCGCAAAAGCTCTACACTCGTGTAGAGCCGTTGCGGATTTTCCCTAGAAACTGCAATGGCTCTACGAGAGCCATGGCTGAATCCCGTATTTTTCCCATCTCGTGGTTTTGCCATGAAAAAATGACTTCTGGTTTTATTCCACATCAGACGGCTCTGAGCTTATGGGCGAAAATGCTATTCATTTTTGTCCATAGGCGTTGTGTAGTAGCTTCTATATGGGAAATGGATATTAGCCTACTAGCTCACAATCTGGGCCAATCTTAACATCCACAATCTCATTTCGTATTTGATTTTTAACTTTTTATACAAATTCAAATCACATGAAATTTTAAGCATCCATTCTTTTCATCAAGGCGCACTTGATAAAAATGTTAAAACAATAATTTGCAAAAAAAAATTGACCAAAATGCCTCTGAAAATTATCGGGGGTTATTTCGATCATTTTATTTTTTGTAAATTATTTTTTTGATATTTTTTTTAGAGTCTTCAATTTTTAAGGAATACACGCTCAAAATTTAAAGTGATTTGGATTTGTAGAAAAAAAATTAAAATTAAAATATAAAATGAGGTCATGACTGTCAGATAGGCCCATATTCGATCTGGCCCGTTAGACTCGTATGTAGCTGTGAGCCAGTGGGCTAACATCATCATTTCCTTGTAAGAACAATACTGAGATGAGCCCACTAGTTCATATGAACATATATGCCCAACAACTCAATTGAATTTGGGTCGATCTGAAGGTCACAACTTCATTTTGTGTTTGAATTTTAAGTTTTTTTTTCTTCTAAAAATCCAAATAACTTAAAATTTTATGGGTCTATTCTTCTCATAAAGGCACACCTAATAAAGATATTGAAAAAATAATTTGTAAAAAATAAATTAACTAAAATGCCCCAAAATTATTCCGGGGTATTTTGGTCAATTTATTTATTTTAAATTATTTTTTTGATATTTTATTAGATTATCCTATTTTTTAAGAATACACATCTAAAATTTCAAGTTATTTAGATGCGTAGAAAAAAAAATTAAAATTAAAATATGAAATAAGGTCGTGACCATCAGATCGGCTCAATTTCAATATGGACCATTGGGCTCATATGTTCATATGAACTAGTGGGCTAATTTCAGTATTTTCCTATATATATATATATAAGACACAACAAAACACCTATAGGTGAAGTTCTACAATACTTCACCTACACCTCATCACCATCCAAAATTCATTACACGGTCACAATCATCCAGTATTATTTAAATTTTTATAATTATTATATTAATTAAATTATCTAAAATTTGAGGTACGTGTATATATGACCAAGACGCATTAAAATAAATATTGAAATGTATGCATGTGCAATGCCTATAGGCGAAATGTTATATTGATTTTGCCTATAAGCTCGGCACCGTCCTATTTTTTCGGAAAGTGAGGATTAAAAAATTGCTAGGTTTGTGGCGGTACCGTCACATGTGCGTGGCGATAAAAAAACACGTGGTAGACCACAACTTGGTGTTTTCCTTGGCGGGGAGAAACACGTTCAAAATTGTTATATAAGTAGAGAACCAATGAATGTAGACAGAGGAAATGGTATGGAAATTTGTTTGTTCTTTTTTTAGGAGTTTGGAGAAGTAAATCAATAGCTAAGAAGAGAGAGAGAGAGAGAATTGTTTGGGTGGAAAGAGAGAGAGAGAGAGTTGTGAAGGCATGCTTCCCAGCATATTAATTATTATAATGCAATGTTTGTTGCCTTGTTGGTCATCAATCATTCTACGACGCCGTACCATACATTTCTTTGTCTTGTTCCTATTAGAAAAGAAGCTTCATGCAACCATGAAACAAAATGCAATTGATAAATAAATTTTGAAAACTAAAAATGTTGTTTTTTCAAGGAAATTTTTTAACAGTCGATTAGAGACCACAACTCCACATCAATGGATGTAAAAACATCCATTTTAAAGATGGATGTGTGATGCCTTGGGAGACGCAAATGTTGTTATGCATCCCCCGACAAGTAAACTACTTTTATGAGAGTTTAGGGCGATGTAAATGGGTTGCGGGCCGTAGCCCATCTTGATAATTAATAGCCAGCCTCGGGTTTGAATTTTTTTAAATTAGGCTAGGCTAGAGCCAGGACCAAGGTCCTAAGGCAGCTTGAAACAGTGTCCGGCTAGCGATCCCGCCGGCAACCCATTCTAATTGGTAGCCTTGCACTTAAGGCTGATGATAAGCCAGATTTGTGCCCGTAGAATTGGCTTGTGCCCGGCTTGAGCTTTAGTTAGGCCCAAGTACGCCCCAGGCTTGAACTTTTACGCCCATGCTAGGCCCAAGCTCAACTCACATGAGTAGGGCTGCTTCAGCCCAACTCGGAAGTCTAATAGATATGCCTGAGCTTGGACCTTGTGGCTAATAGGTTTGTAGGAAAGCCCATGGGCTCAGCTAGCCTAATTGGTTGAAAGCCATTTAAAGCTGCTGTTTATGGTCGGGCTATCTGATTTTGATCCGTTAGACTAACTAAACAATATTAAATAATTTTTTGTAATGTATTTCATTTTTAAACTAAAGTGTTGATTATACAAAGTTGTAACTTTACTCGTAAATGTAAGGATGCAATGTTCTATACAATCAGTCTTAGTTGGATGATACAGATTTCACACGGCTTTTAAAATATTATAAAAAAAT